ACTATAACAGTCAGTTATTTTTATCATTCTGCTTACCCGTAAATAGAAGAGTATCTTGTATATAGGCCAGCAGAACTTTGTCATAAGCACCTATCCAAATTTCAGAGCAGATGAAAACAGGGAAAGGAAAAGCAAAAAAGGCGAAAACCCCCTTCATTACTAGAGATCTTATTCAAAGACATGTGGAGGTCAGCTCAGTCTCAGGCAGTAAAATCAGACCTGGCAGAGTCAAAAGCCACCTGAGGCTTCCTATTATGACATGCACAAGGCCCAACAACGAAATGTAGACCCATTTCTTCTATGGTTCCCTCCCCTGCAAGAGAAATTGCTCTCTGCCCAGCCCCATCTAGTGGAAAGACAGTCTCAAAACATCTGCATCCCTGCTGTGAGACACTGCAGTGTTCTGGCAAAGGGGGGCTGTCACCATGATGCCTGATCCTTCTTGAAAGAGTCTATAAAGAATCATCTACTCCCTCTGCTCCAACCTATGTGTGTGACATCCTCCTCCCCTTTTAGCCAGTGAGGCTTACAGTAAGACTTTTCCACACCACCTTGCCTTTCCCACAGAGGAGATGAGGGCATCAAGGTGAGCATATGAAGGTACAGTGGGGAGTCTGAGAGGCTGTAAGACCAAAGCAAAAGCAATGGTTCCCAGGCCTTCTACGATCCCCAGGTCTGGGATGGACTCCAGTGATTTCCAGACACTGTCTGGTGGCAAGAGGTGGTGAATGGGGCCAGAAGCTTTTGTCTGGAAAGCTGGTCCAGAAGATCCAAATCCCTAACCACACTGACCTAGCCCAACCAGCAGGGGCATCTGGTCAACTCCACCCGAAGTTCGTAAGTTCACATGACTTGATTGGAAACTGACTTGGAATGTATGGACCTTGGGGGGAAAAAAAATAGTGTAAGTAAAAGTTGCAAGTGTGTAAGATATTGTCCTCATCCCTAATAAGGGTGACCAGACCCAGGCACCATTCTGCTGCCAGGGGAAACACAGCAGCACTTTAAAAAACAAGTTGAAAATGGTCCCCAGCTGCATATAAATGGTCCACCCAATTATAGCAACTGAGATTATAAATTAAGTAAATTTCTGTGAACCAGTCTGAGAACTTAGACATCAAGCTTTATTCCAGTGGGAAAACAAGTTCACAGTTATAAATAGACTTACAGATACATTTCTGGAATATAACCTGTTTCTAAAGTGGGGACCAAATTAATATTTGGAATATAGTGACTGTATTTTTATTGTTGACATAAACTGGAAATAGACTTGATATAATAATAAATACCAGGTACCACTTCCAAATTATTCCATCTTCCTCTGGAAAGACTTCCTTACTATTCTTCAAGCAGCAGATCTCTCCTACTCAACCACTGCTCTACCTATCCTTTCCCTTTCAGCCTACCTGGCCTGCGTGCAACAGGGGACTGTTATTTGGGGAGGAAGCAGGGATGGGAGAATGACATCAATTATCCGATATGCTGGGAAATAACTATGTGGTTATCAGCCACATAGACATGTGGTTGTCAGCCTGGGCTGGTAGGGCAGTTAGGGTAACATATAATCTTGACTGGCTTTGGGATTCATGGAGAAGATTAATGAAACATACTTCTGGGAAAGTAATGGTGTGGCATTTGGGTCTTTGGCCCTTGACCTCTTCTTCTCTAGCTCTGTTCCCCTGTTCTGCTTCCCAGCCACATCACGGACTTCTACCATAATGCTTCTACCTTGAGGCTGGCCATCCATGTACTGAATCCCCTGAAACTGTGAGACAAATTAAACCTCTCCTCCTTTAAATTGTGAATGCTGGATACTGAAAACCAGCAACAAGAAAGCTAATACTACTGCTGCTCAAGGCACCTTCAAACACACCTCCTTTGCTAGTGCCTAGGTTAACACTATGCAACCAAGTACTCAATTAAACTGAAAACTCCTTGACATCAGGAGCCATGCCTAAATACACCACAGAAACTATTGAGACCTATGGATACCACTAGGACATACTATACTCTAAATGTAAAAGCATAAACACATGATACCAGCAGCACCACCGTGAAATGTGGACTCTGAGAGGGCATTGTGGCTCGCTTCATAAGCCAGCTAAAAAAGTGACTCTCGCACTCCCATATCAAGATTCAATCAAGTTCAATGCACCATCAAAATAACAGATATATATATATGGCTTCCAGGGCTGTTGAAAATAAGCCAAAATTCTGAATGCTAAGTGCATATCCAACAAGTCCATTCTGTTTCTTCTTAACCATTTTTAAAAAGTAAGCCTTGCCAGCATGTAGCACACCCTGGTATATAAGAATCCACACAATGAATGTCTGCAATATCTTCTTGGCCATATGCAATGCACATAAAGAATCTGTCAAAAGAAGAAAAAGCCTGGTATAAGTGTGGCTGAGGTTAATGACTATGGGGGACAGGCTGAAGCCAAGAAAACATCCACTAACCTTAAGCTACCCACTGCAGACACCTGGACACACCACCCAATTCCAAATCTTTATTCAGGTAATTCCACATACACTAGCCCTCAAATGTTCTTACCAAAAGTACTATGGAGTATATTCATGGGTGCTACAAAAACAAAAGGTAACATGGTCAAATAAAACTGATCTAACTAAAGAGATCTTACTAAAGTGCACCTCACCATTTGCACACCAGTGTGGGAATCTCCAGAAGAGATACAATCATCAAGGCTTCCCACATCTAACTGATCATGCCCCTCCCCTCCTTTTTGTTGGACCTTATCTTATAATTAGTTTTTTCAGATTCTACAGTATGAAAAGCACTCAAGTTACTTAAATAAACACCAGATGTTGATGTATCCCCGGCAAGAAAACTTAAAACCTGACCCTTCCCTGCTGTGGCTGGCCACCTCTCTTCTGTAATTCACTGTAGAAATGTTGCTCCTACTTTGTGGAGCAGTCTAAAATAAAATAACCAGAAACATAATCTTTAAATGCCAATGAATTCATTGACTATGACAGTCCTTGGTGAGGAACACAAACCTCATAAGGAATCCAATACAAGGTGCTTCTTCCAGGACCTGAATTTATTCAACCTATAAAGAAAAACCACACACGCCCCATCCCTGTCCCCAGTACGTACCAGCACTGCACAGAGGCATCAGCATTTCCTAGGCACTTGTTAGAAATGCACATTCAGAGGACTAGGACAGTGATGGTGAACCTTTTAGAGCTTTCAATGACACAAACAGCCTGGTGCTGCACACATGCCATAGGATGTATCAGCACTAAAGCACCTGCTGGATCCTCACAAGGAGGCCCTGGGTCTGATCCCTAGCAAACCTCCTCCCTCAGAATGTGCATATTCTAGGATGCTAGTTCCATAGCTCTCAACAAAGTCAGCTTCTATACCTGGAAAAAGGGCAGAAAGCAGACCCCTACTGGACACTCCGCAAGCACACATGGAAAAAGAAACTGGTCTCCTTGTTTAGGGCCTTCCACCCAAGAACCTGCTAGCACTTCCTGGCCAGATTTTACACATTCTTTTTTGGGGGGAGACAGGATCTTGTGATGTTGTCCAACCTGGCCTCAAACTCTCAGACTCAAGTGATCCTACCGCTTGTCACGGCCTCCCAAATATCTGGGATTACTGGTACCACTGCACTTGGCTTATGTTCTCTTTTTAAACAAAAAGGCAAAAGGATTCATAACCTGCTATTAAAGCCACATCCTTTTGTTAAGTTAAAGAAAAGGCAGGAAAGAGAAGGAAGGTAAAATGGAAGGAAGCAAGTAAGCAGGTAAGTAGGTGGGTTTCATATACATCTTTACCCCAATCTCCTGCCCTCATTACGAGTGTAAAAGAGGGCCCGCCACTGTGCATTTCCTGTTGCCTAGCAATGCTCAGGCACTCTTTTTCAGAGAAACTCTCAAGAAGCTGAACACTAGCACAAAACAAAGTAAAGCAATCAAAGGAGGAGGTCTGTAGTATGTGCCACATCTCAGGAGACAGTTTAAATGCACTAGAAAGCCTCAGTGTGAGGTGTGACTCCACCCAGGTCTCGTCACATGAGTTCCAACTGCACATGACCAGGACATTCACAAGGCTAAAGCAATGTTCTGCCCACAGAGCACATCTGCAGAGATTATCTTACCTGCTTCCATGACAAATGGACGGGAGAATGGACTGCCTGAGTTCAGGCCCAAGGAAGCTGAAAGACACCTAAGTTACTTACTTGCTCTAGTACACACAGAGCTGCAGAGTACCAGGAGAGAGGAGAGTCTTCTACCTATGGACTTTTCCCACTGTACCAAGAACTGACTCCCATCTTCCCTAACATTTACTTCTGGGAAACCCATCACAATGTAAGAAGATCCTTCCTTAATAGCAAAAATCATGGATGTAAAACTGACACCATTATGGCTCAGAGAAGCTTCAAACAAAACCTATAAACTGTTTTCAAAGAATTTTAAACTGTTTTCAAAGACAGTTATTAGAGAATCACATCCTTGATGTGTTTGAGGAAGTTGCTGTAACCTGTGGGTGAAAAAAATGCCAGCACAGTAAACTGTGATCATTAGCTGGAATAGTAAAGCCAAGTTTTTTTTCTTGTGGATTAGACTCTGATTATGTACCTGGTCAAAAGAAATATACTTTATCTGCAACCTATGTAATTACAAGGAACCACTGAGTATGCAGACAACACATTGTTCACTGAGCTGTTTTAAAGGCAAAGCAATGTCAGAAAGAAAATATGCTCAAACTGACAAGAAAAGCTTCCTATAATCAAGAGCTCATAAGCCTGCTGCTCATTAGCACAGGCTGTTTCTGTTCTGATTACTATCTACCAAAGGCCAGGATAACTGTACCCTATTCACAGCACAACACGGCTACAGTACCAGTGTGCACCTAAAGACACCTGACACAAGAGGGTCCTAATGGTGAAATTATGGTAATTCCTAAGATTAATCAGTATTCTTAACTGAGCCAATCAAACTCATTCCACATGCTTCATGAACAAACTTACCCTCCTCTCCAGTGCTGCTGACTGTGGGCAGAGATCTTGTAAGGAAGTGCTCGTTCACCCAGGTTTTCCAAGTTCCGCACTATGGCTCCTCTGTCCATCAGGGCTTCTATTGTACGTTTCAAAGCAGCAGCAGTCTCGGGCTGTGTTTTATTTTTGTATTTAAAGAGAAGAGAAAAAACCCCATGAAAGTCAGTATGAGAACCAGAATGATTAAGTCCAGTTAGGTTCCAATCCTAACAGCTCTACTGGTAGGAATCTCTGGGGAAAAGCAACAAAAAAAAGCTTTGACTTAAAATAGAGACCTTTTTATAGTAAGGATACAAGATTCTCACAGGAATGAAGGAAAATCTGGAGAACCAGGAACTAATGAGTGGCTTCTTCAGAGCACCTCAGCAGGGCTCAATCAGTGCCAATCACTGTCAGTTCTTGGAGCTCAAGACTCAAAATCAAATTCCAGGAGGAGAGTATCTTGGTGGTAGTTGACCTCTCCACCAAAACCACAGCCAGTGGCAAAAGGAGCTGTTTCCAAGGAAAAACTGGAAGACTAACTGAAAGGGAAAGGACAAAACCCAATTTCTGCCTTCACGGAGCTTACAATCTATTAAAGAGCTTACCACAAAAATACACATCAAGACCAAAAGGCAGAAAAACCAAAAGCTCATGGAAGAAACACACTCAGCTGGGTAAGAGCTTCATTACGGAAAGCATACCTGACAGCAGCCCTGAAAGTGAAGACTAGAGAGTCAATGAACCAACGAACCAGGAAACAATTAAAACAGCAAGGGCAGCAAAGTGTGAGCGCACTAAGGAAAAAGCTAGGAGTCCTACAGGCTGAGGTCAAGGAGGGCTGAGAAGGAAGTCAGCAGGCTATGAACAAGAATATAAGTAATACAGGTCTGTTATAAAAACCAAAGCCAAAATTGAAACAATATTCAAACTTCATCATCCAGAGATAAAAGATTTAACATTTTGGTGAATTCTTTTCCAAATATATCTCTATGCATACACATAAACAAAAAATGTTAGAAGAAACAACACAAGGATAACCCTGAAAAGCCCAACTAGTGCAATGTGGAGAATGAGGGTGAGAGGTGAGGAAGGGACACTGAAATATTCTCCACCAGGCTGGAGAACAGCACAGTCATTAGCAGCTAAAGGAAATCTGGAGAAGCTGTCAAGGGACAACGAAAAGAACTGGGGTTAGGACACACTGAGTCTGGGATACCATGGCTCCCTAGGTTGACCTCTCAAGATATAAACTTTAAGGTTAAAACACAGGTGGGTTAGATGTACATGTTTTATAATCATCCACACAGAAGGTTCTACAGGCTACAACGAGGTGAGCTCACCGTAGGAGAATAGAGGGGGAGGGGAGGAAACCAACAACAAAACTTTAAAGAACACAGACATCTGAAGGCTAACAAGAGGACTTGAAATCATAGAAGCAAATTTAAAGCACACCATCAAGTAGGACAAGAAAAATCAGGAGCCTGCTTTCTCACAGGAAAGTAAAGCAAGGCAGCCTCCAGAATATGGGGCTGAGAATGGAGACAAAGAGCTGCAGGGTGGTGACTGCATGGGAACTTAGCAAGATGGGGACGGAAGGCAGATGGCAAAGTTTCCCAGGGTACAGTTACAGGGCAATGACAAAGGGACAGTGCCAGAACTCAAGGGGCAAGCAAGTCTGAGCGAAAGTGTAGGAGAACAAGAGAGAAAACACAGGAGCAAATCATAAGTTAAGGAGGAATGGGCCAGTCAAGAGATTAAAACGTAGAAATTTTCAGTAACAGCAGTGATGACAGCTACCATATATGTCTGACTGCTATAGGCCCAACACTGGTCTAGTAATTTATTGTTATCTATTTGACCTTTACTAAAAAAAGAGCCAAGGTTTACAGATTTGAAATTGGGCCTAAAAGAGATGCCAAGACAAAGCAGCTAGTAAGTGGAAGAGGCTGCTACAGGAAAAGGAAATCTGCCAAAGCATAACATGAGAGGACAGAGGTACAGCAGAGACAAAGGCAACAAATACAAAAGAGACAGGACACAAGCAAGACACAAGATTTTGAAGCACAGGAAGGAACTTAAGAAAAGGATTATCGATCCCAAGTTCCTAGGGCAGAGAACGTGAGCTGGTCCCAGCACCCAGAAGGAAGCTCCCCCACCGCCATCCCAAGCTCCTAGGGCAGAGAAGCTGAGCCGGTCCCAGCACCCAGAAGGAAGCTCCCCCACTGCCATCCCAAGCTCCTAGGGCAGAGAAGGTGAGGCACGCAGGCACCAGAAGCAGCCCCCACCCATGGAAATGAGA